TACTGGCACGCTCGAAAGTGTGGCGAGATGCGGATGCACAAGATGTACGCGACGCCAGGGAATGTTGCCCAGAGAATGGCTTTAGGATCCAAAAGTGCCCAGCCGCGAGAGACACCGACCTCGATCTTCAACGTGTGGAATTCACCCCAGGTGAGGTTTGCAGGACGGATTGCCCCGATATTTCGGGCCGGCGCAAAGCTCTCGTCTGGCTCAATATGTTGTAGGGCATCGACAAAAGTCGCTCCGCACGTTTGGAGGTGCACGCCGAAGGTTCCAGTTGCGGCCGCGATCGCGTAACTTACTCTACGGTTCATGACTTCGTGGATCTCTCCTGGTAGTTCGACGATGTAGATAGCCCCATCTCGCCACATCATAGCTCGGGAGATGAGCTCCTGGTACTCTGAGTTGACGAACCGATTCCAGTCGGACTTGGTCGCATCGCATACCTTGACACCGGCATCGAAATGCGTCGTGAAGAGCGCCGTCTGCACGAGTGTCATATTCATGGAGCGCAGGGCGTTGTTGATGCGGCGGACTGGAGCAGGTATCTCCGTGGCCTCGACTTCGACGCCGTACGCAACGCTCATGCTCAAGAAGAAAAGGAATTGTGCAAGTGTTGTACTACATGTAATAGTATCAACTTTTCCCTGTCGCTCCAATTTCACAAACGTACACGGTTGACCGTAATTAGTACGGATTGAGAATTAGTGTCTCCTACTCCTGGTCTGCATGCAGTTCGTACTGGACACGCCATCGTGGCTGCTGCTTCGGCACAACGACCGCATCACGAGCTTCTCGGTGTGCCTAAAGATCCAAAGCCCCGTGAACTGCAGCACGCGCGCCGAAGTCCGCGTCAACTCGACTCTGCACGCCGACTTTCTCTCCTGTTTTCTGACAGCCAAAGGTAATGATAATCAACTAGTAATATATAATTTGTACTATTTTTTAGATATGCGTTCAACAATTGCACTTGTAATTTGTATTGGATTTGGCTGAAAAGCTGGTCCATATGGTTATTTAGGGGTTTTGATGATTTGATTGGCTTATGTGGTTCCTCATAAATTTGTCTATATGCATTTACAGTTAATTATCGTTGGTTAGTATAGTTTTTGTCCATACTCTTAGAATATGCTACTACTGATTTCCTTCCCGGTTACCGCACTCAATTCTGAGTCCACTCTAATTCTCAATCCGTACTAATTACGGTCAACGGTGTACGTTTGTGAAATTGGAGGGAAAAGTTGACACTATTACATGTAGTACAACACTTGCACAATTCCTTTTCTTCTTGAGCATGAGCGTTGCGTACGG